ATCCAATCCGGCTCAATCAGATCCGCCAGAAGCAGATTCTACTATTGTTAGCACTGAGTCCTTAAAGTGGAGTGCGTTTAGCAGCATTGAAAAAAAAATAAGTCCTGGGCATGTATGAAGTTTCCCTGGTGCTAATCAGGCTCTACAGGCTCTATGATTCACTGAAATACCTAAACTTTCAGGGGATTCAGAGACCTAAACGAACTGGAGCTGCTGAACCTAGCTGGGGGACGTCTGGGAGAAGGAACAGACCGGGCAGGCTAAGGGGGGCTTGAGTGTCGGGACGGTCGTATCTTAGGTCTAAGGAGAGAAGAATGCCAGGCAGGTGAGCGGTGGGGTTTCAGATTTGAGAATCTGATTGGCGGGGTTGAGGCAGTGCAAGCTAAAGGCGCTAGGGACAATTGAGAATCCGTACCTACCCAATGACACTTGGGTATCTATCTTAAATAGCAATTACCAACGCGCTGAAAAGCAAGGAAGGAACGATATGAAAGGTACGGTTATCCAACCAGGGTCGAGGTTGGGTGCAGATGTACCCGGTAACTGCCCGGTACATTTAATGGATTGCCTACTGCCAAAGTCTGGACTGAGTCTGGTCCACATCACTATCAGTACCGTACCTAACAGTACCTACTTTAACGTCGTAAACTGCAGCACTGAGTGCATTCATTATCACATATTTTGAACCCAACTCTCTCACCAACCATTTACACACCTACATATAGTATCAGAACATCTCCAACATTTCCCAGACTTTATATATTGCCCCCAATTTCCCTTCGCTTTAGTCTGTCTCTTGTCATTGCAACTCCGAGCGATCTTTTTCTTCAATATGCCCGAGTCCCAGCCTATCTATTCAACCACGATATCCTAACCCTTCCACAAGCCGACTTGTGTTCCAACCCTACCTTAACTACCTATGTACCTACCTATGTATGGCAATGCCTAAACCTTTGGTCTCATTCTTTTGGTCTCACTCTCCTTCGTTTTACTGGCTCATTTCACATTCACTCCATATTCATACAGATCGCCTATTTTACGGATTGAAATAGGAAGAAGATTAGCTGGTGTTACCAAGGAGTCCAGATCTTCAGGTATACTCCAGACACGCGTCGCCGCGTCTCCCACTTAACTCGTCTTTTATATGTCTTCTTACAAACTGCTAGCTTCATGTCGTTCAAAGTTTCAGATGCTTACCTGGCCGTTTTTCCATAGAGCCACGCATTTATTAAGTTTTCAACTAGCCCACCGGGAGTTCAACACGGTGTTCGGAAAAGGGGGCTTGTCGCCTCCCGCAGATGTGACTAGACACCGCTTTGTCTCCCACTCAATACCTACCTACTCAAGAAGCCTTCGGTATACCCGCGATTTTCTTAATCCACTCCACTGGTGTCTCCTTTAACCCCCATCAACCGTGTTATTCTTGTCATTCTTCTCATCAGAAATCACCCTTCGAAGCATCACGGCTTCTATAATATGTACGCAACGTTACTGTATAGCTGGCGGAGGTATGATTTTCCCCCAGATTTGATGGTTTGGCTAAACTTCAAACTGCCAAGGACAACAGCCGTACGGCACTTTGATGATGCCAGTTGACTTCTATGTAAGAATTCATTTTCCCCTTTCTCCTTCCCAAGCCGGCCGCAGCATCGACTACGACCACCACGCTGCAGTCTCAAATTTTTTAGCATGTATAAACACATTTCGGTCAATTCGTGCATGCATTCAGGGGTCAATGACGTGGATACGTGGATACCCGTATAAGCAGGTGGGCAAAAGATACCCGATTCCAATAGCAAACGTCGAGGTAAGTAATTCGTAGGTTCTAAGGATGCCCTAATTCATTTCCTTGCTAACATTGGCGAGGTCGGTTTCTAGACACAACGTCTATGTTTCGGGTCGGCGATTTGAACCCCTTTGTGGAAGCGTGGCGGGTCGACCTTTTGGCCCGTACCGGTCATTCGGCTCTGCGTTTTTCGCTTCTCGTTTCTCATCTGTTGGAGATAAGGGATTGTAAAATCAAACCCTTGACAACGCCAGCTCCATTGTCTCATTCGTCCTCTCAGCCGCCTGTGGCTAGCTAGTATTTCACACCGGTCGCCTCATCTGGAACCGAAACCACCACCAGGACAGGTTACAAACTACAACATTACTTATAGCGCTGTTGTCAAGTGGTGGCTGATTTATAAGCGAGGACAATCGCTTGTGCAACAGCCCACAGCCGTTTCTAGGTACCTACCTACCTAGGTAGTTTGTAAGCTACGGTGAACCCGTAGGGCGTGGAAAATTGTGGCCGATTTCTACGATAACAAACGCCTTCACATCGCGACGTCTTGTATTTGACCGTTATAGCCTTGCCTATTAAGAGGTCTTCTCACAATCAAGTCACATGATTAAGGTCTAAACGCGAGATATCGTCAGCCTCAAGCATGTTACTTTTGTAGGTTCGTCACGGTATTGATGATTGGTCGTGTCTTTGCAGTTCCTGACAAGCCTGATGACTCAGCTATCATTGAGTGTGCATAGACGTCCTGAACCCGAGAAGTGCCACGGTGACGTCAGCTTTTGATGAAGCAACCTCTTAAACACCGAACCGCGATAAAGGATCCTTACACAGATATTGCGCAGAAAAGGCAAGATTCTAATCAATGAGATACTTATCCGCGAAGCAAACCGAGCTGTAATTCTCGCAAATCAGCACCCAGCCGAGGTAACAAGGAATCGGCAGACCGGGTTACGTAGAACTCGACTCAACCGCCCCCATTTCCCCGGTTTGAAGAGTGTCATCATTACGACGACATGAATTTCGTTTGACCTTAGAAATCGCCGAGGGCGAATTTGATGCCACTTTCCCACCTTGGGCAGATTCAGATAAAACAACCCACATCGACAGCCTACCAACCTAGGGTTGCTGAATGACACGTTGTAGGTTCCCTACCATCTGGGGATTAATAAGTACTCGCAGAAGCGAATCAATTTCGGCTATCGATAATTCATCATCTTCCGTCTTGTCATGCCTACCACAGCCGCCGCGTCAAGTTAGAGCATATCACCAATGAGGTTCAACATTCGCTTAAACTCTATAAGTCACGATCCCCTACTTAAAAAATGTTTTCCTATCCTCCGCTTCCAAGAGCTGGTAGACGGATATTACCCGTCGGCGGCTCTTTCTATGATACCAAAGGCATAATGTCCGAGTCTTTTCTTCAATGCTGCCTAATGAGACATGTGTTGAGAAATACCGCCTCCGGCTCCACTCACCGACATGTAAAAAACTGGTTGGCATAGTCGCCAAAACATGTCCCGGCGACGATCCTCATAGCCCTACTGAGGAGTAGCCTTTCTACCCAGGGTATATACCTAGTACTTGGGCTGGATTACAATCAGGAGTAATTTGGTTAGTGATCAAAACAGTTGCCATCCAGCGATGCACATATTTGATGATATCGCACTCCGGTCTTCAGCTAAAGAAAGTCGGAATTAACTATTACAATGCACGAGATGATCATCCCGCGTATTCTTTCGAGTGAGGACTAAACTTACTACAGCTAGGGCTTTTGGCATGTGGAAAAGCGAGCGATCAAAACAGAACCCGATATACCTCCGTCTAGGAGATCCGGTCATTCCGGCGCAGAGTCCGAAGCTGCCCCAAGCACAAATGTCAATCATTTCTAGTCAGAAACCCACTCGTTCGATAATGAAAGGGGTGCTTGGTGCTTGGAAGTAAATTATATTTGCCCAGCGCCTTCTACCACCTACCTTTACGGTAGAACGTGTGTCCATGTAAGTGCTTTAGACATTCAACTTGAAGAACGCCAGGCTATTGAGGAACGGGCCATAGTTCTCGACGCGAAATTTTTACGGTATTCAATTTCGAACGGCCATAGACATAATCTAGCCGACGGAAATCGTATCGACCCATATTCCTGCCATAAAAGAAGTACCTATATATAATTACTTGAAGGGCAGTTACGTCATAGCCGCTAGCACCGATAACTGACAACGGGAAACTATTCAGGAACTTCGTGCTGTTTTAATAGTTGACATATGGAGAGGTCATGTGGCGCACGCTAGGGCTTAACAGCACGAAATGCTGTCGCAGTGAGAAGTGTCACTACAATGCGTTATCGAAGAGCCCTAAACGAAGAATGTCGTCACTAAGCATCTTGACAGGAACTCGTTAATCATCACGACAAGTAAGAGGATAGTATTAATATGTCTTTTGCCTTGTGACGCGCATCGTCGACCTCGATTTATCGGGAAACAAACTTCATTATTAGATCAATCATTGTAGAAGTGCCCGGTATCTCATTTCTTTTAGGTATTTCAGAAGTCATTCTTCATCCCAGCTCCATGGACCTGCACGGCGTTTACAATTGCAGCTCTTGGGCAGCAACCACACTCACATTACAGGGCTTCCGTGACACAGAGATTCCTCCGCCATAGTTAACCACTTCTAGATCATCAAACATACCTATCACTCCAAACAAACGCCTACCCCCATATTCATCCATATGGAGTGAAGTTAAGAGAGGAAAGTGGTCAAAAAGGCCATATTAATCATCATCCGCCTCCATACCATAGCTCACACCTAGCTTCCACAAGTATTCTATGTCTAGGTCCCGTAGCTCAATTAGTTAGAGTCGTATTAATATTATCCTAAATCGAAAGATTGCGTAAATGCGAAGACTCAAGAATTCAATCGTCTCCGAAACCATGAATCTTATTTTTACATGTCCGTATTGAGTGAACAGTTCCTGTCGCTGGTTTGCGACTAATAGCACGTAGACCTTTCTGTCTTGATAGGGGTTCTAACTTGGAACGCATGGTTTCGTACTGGCGTATGCGTATATCTTACTACTCAGCGACAATACTGTATGTGGCAATTCAACCATTTGCATAACTCAGTATAACCCAATTCAACTATAATTTCAATAAGTATTTCATAAAACTTAAATATCAAATTGAGTGATCAAAAGAAAAAAAGAGAAAAAAAAGAGTAGTCGCGCCGTGACTTGAACACGGATCCTTCTCGGGATATACAGAAGACTGTAAGCGAGATGTCATGGCCCCTTAGACCACGCGACCCTCAATTTGTGTCGCGGATGATATCTCATACGCTAAGATGTCCGATACTTCTTAAGAAGAGTATATAAGTTCAATAGGGCAAACAAGATTTGAGTTTGGCTGAAGAATCCACACTGGCATCTGAAAGAGAAAGAGCAATCGTTGGTTGTTATGTACCTATTCAGATGAAAGTAACCCCTCTTACCTATTGGTCCAAACATCCAGGAAGGAGTTTGTTCATATATGGCACAGTCATGTTATGTTATCAATCTTCAATGGCTTAGTCAATAGAGCGACAGGTATAATTTTGCCTGTATCAATTTGAATGACTCCTTAGGTATTAAATTCCTGTTTCGTGATTGTCGCGTTGACTATAATCCCGCTCTCTATAAGATGGACTGGCCTTGTAGCTGCTATGTGGCTGGAGTCCTCCTTGCGTAGTTATGTCATTACTACCCCCTTGACTATAACTATTCTTATATAGAAAGCATCTACACATATAAGTTAAGCATACAATCACTTGCTAACCTTCCCTTATGTCATGATATCACTTCAATTACAAGACGTAAATACCTTGGCATAAGGAACCGATTCTTAAGGATATAAGCACTTTAACTAAGTCTCTTAAAAGGGCTCCAGCCATAACACACGTAGAGGCCACTGTAGTAGACTAAGTGACGAGCCCGGAAGAACCTCCCTTAAAAAAACACAGAAAAAACCCATACGCACGCACGCACACTAAATAACCCGACCATTTCTCATACGCCTTTAGTGCCTTATAAGTACCCTCTCAATCAACGAGGCTCGCATATCTGTGGTGAAAAGTGGCGCCGACTCCCCCAACTCCGAAGTATAGTGTCCCGCCCGATCTCCCTAGAATCCATCGCGTGAATTGTGCTGCGTAAAAAAAAGGGAATAGCCGACGGAATAAACTTGACGAATGAACCCAGCCTGAGCCGGTCTTCGACTTTGCAAATACAGTGTATGGGGGAATAAAGAAGAAGGAAAAAAGGGGAATGCGAATTAGAATATGAGTATGAATGGTACATTATTAAAAAGTCCTCCGCATTATCGTCTCCTGGAAGTCGCCTTACGCTTCCTTGCCCTAGGCGCTGCCTTCTTCGAAGGACTAGCATTCCCGGTAGGAGCTGGTTCTACCACCTCTGCCGTGTTTGCCGGGGATGCTGTGATACTATCTTCGTTGATCTCAACACCGAGGCCCTTCAGCTCATCTTCATCAATCTCGGAGAGCTCCTCACTAAGGCTGCGAACAGCATCTCTTCCTTGCCACTGCTCTAGGGTAGCAGAGGTTCCCTCAGGTTCGAAGTCGTTTAAATACCATACGACACCGCCATCGGTCAGTGGGTCGGTCGGTTGGTGTCCTAAACTCCCGTTGGATTGAGGAGGCGTAGGCGGCGTAGGCTGCAATGAAGGTGTCACGCCTACATAACCGTTTATCGCCGGTGGTGTGTCTATCGCTTGCATACCATCGACTGATAGTGCTTCTGGCTTGCTTTCGATTGCTGGCACTTCTCGGAAGGATAGGGTTTTGGTGGTTGGTTCAACGCCATCCATCTCATCCCCATCCAAACCAGACGTGTTGACTTCGATATTACCACTACCGCCAACGCCGGCCATAGGCACATCCCCTGGGATTTCCCCTGCGATAGCAGAGCTATCCACGTCCCCACCAACAGTGATCTCTGGGGCCGACGAATCAACCATGATGACATCTCTACTCCGCTCGGATTCTCCGTGGCCCTGATTAATTTGCTGCCGTACTTCGAGGCTAGCTTCAATCGTGGATTCGAATTCTTGTTTCATCGTCTCAAATGACTTGTGAGTAGCTTCTGACTCGAGACGAAGCGCCGTCTCTAGCTGCGGCTGAATCGACTTAAGAATTCTCTTACCCAGCTTCTTCCTATCTCGAATATCAGAAAAGTCAGACTTGGATACGGCCGGGGCAATAATGCCAAGCTTCGGTTGCGTTTCAGATTGAGGTTTAGGCTCGGTGTTGATTCCGATATTAATCACCTCGCAAAGATCGTGAGTAAAGGTTAAGGTTGTGGTATAGAATCGTTCATCGATTCTATTAGAAAGCCTCAATAGTCCTTCGTGAAACAGGTTCTTGTCTAACCTATTGATATAGTTAGTACTATAGGAATTATAACAGCTGACCATCGACTTACGTGATAGCCTTTTCCACGATAGGAGGAAGCATCTTGTGAATGGGAAAGTAGCACGTATCGACAAATTCTTGTTCCATCTCAGCAGCCTCGAGCTTGCTCTGCTCTCTCCGGACTATTGACTCTGATAAGGCCTTAAGCTGCTCCAGATCATCGATAAGGTATTGGGCAAAATCAATGCGCCTTGACAGCCGAGCCTTTCCGGAAGGCATAGCTGCAAAGTTACGTCGAGTGAGCTCCATAGAAGAAAACGATTCCATCTGCAGCTGTAAGCGCTTGAGTAGTGCAGCGCCACGGCGCATCTCGCGTTTCAATGTCCAGTAACGACAAGCATCGCTCACAAATTCCTTACGCTTAAGGAAATTGAAGCGCTGCAGGGAGGCTTCGACGTTCTCGAAAACGGCTTGCGGTATGACGGGAGCTCCAGATGGTAACTTCCATATTGATTTTCCAGCCTGTCCTTTCTTATCCCCAAGGACGGCAGAGAGCTTAGCTCCGGTCATTTGGGATTCATCTGGTGGATGTTCAGTTATCGCATTGCGGTGCGACGCTGCAATAGTCATGGCTTTAGCTTGACTATTGGCCCAAATGCGATCCTTCATCGTCTTCTTATAGAATTTCTTGGCTCTCTTAGTAGCCCGCACTACGTCATTCTCCTTAGCGTATTCGGAAGGACAATGTTTATCGCAAAGGGCCTTTAGATTTGTGCTTCCATCAAGAACATCCAAAGCTCCCGAGCTGTTCTTCATTTTTAAGAACAGACGAGCTCGTCGGGCACAAGTCACATGGAAGGCCTGATAACATACTTTGTTACCGCATTGTATGCAGGCACCCATCTGCTGGTTGCAGATGTAACATGTTAACTTCCAGCGGCTCCTCGGGACCTTATCCACGTCCATGACTGGCTCCATAAAGGTGTGGTTTCCCAATGTCACCTCTGGAATCCACATGGCGCAGAGCAAATGTGCCCATTTTGAATGATTCGTCTGTTTGAAAGCACCATCGGAGTTGGGGCAGAAAATACAAGTCTGACCGATGTTAGCACGAGTCTTAGGTAGAGCGGGACTAAAGGAACTGACCGGGATGCCACGCCCAATAAGCTGGCACTTCCGACAAAGCCATTGACCCTCCGGAATAAATGGAACACCATAACATTCTTGGTGGACCGCAAGATCACATCCATCGCAAAAAACAATTGCGTTTGTGTTTTCACAATCACCATCATCGCAGATTGCACACTTGCTATCTTGTTCTTCGCCTGCTTGCGGCTCACCATTAACAGCGGCAGCCGAACTGGATCGAGGTCGGTGAGTTTGCGGTGGTTTTGGATTAGGCTTCGGAATTCTTTTCTCCAATGCGTGCCACTCCTTCTCGATTTTTGTGATGGTAATCTCAAAAACTTCACGGGTAACTGGATTCAAACCCTGCGACCTTCTATGCGCATTATATGCCTCTAGCCACATATCATCTTGTTCATCCATGTCATACTCGACACGGCCTAAGATGTTAGTTGGCTGAGGCATTGGTTCGCCATCGAACTTGACAATAGCAGCCTGGTCTGCCTCGTCTTCGATGTTCGCATCGCTAGCCTTGATCAATTTTCTATCCGGCCGAATAAAATTATCGCTCTCTTGGTATCCGACGTTCATCATTGCCTTGTCAACATATCGAGCTTGACCAAATGTCTTGCTCTCGAAAAGCAATATGCGGTCTGTTTTCCGATAAGAAGGTTGCTTGAGATCGAGTTTCTCCTTGTTATTCTGGCCATGGATAGGGAGAGGGGTAGGTGTATTTGGTGGTGCTTGTTGATCACCACGAGTGGCATATAGGGATTCTCCTCGCGGTAGTCGACCACCGCGTCTTCTTGGAGTTGTAAAAGAGAGGCCGACAGGAGTTACAGCAGTGTTCACTGTGGTATTCGGTGGGTTCAAGATGGAGGAGGTAGTTGCGGCATTAGGGTCCTTCGAAGGACTACCGATATCGTTATTATCCGCGCCAGCTGTCTTAACTGATGGTGTTTCCGGGATTGTTTTTGCGGTTCCATCGACGTCTTCAGCATGAAACATCATGAAAGTGCCATCAATATCAAGGTTCGGGTGGAATTCCTCCCAGCCGCGTTCTTCTCTGGGTTTATAACCCTCGCTCTGCACGACGGCAGCTACTGCGGCTGCAGAACTGATCTGCATCTCGTCGTCTGGCTGAATTCGGGTTGCGTGTCGAGTTCGGGTACTACGTTCGCGCCTAGGGTAGATAGCGGGGGATGCCGCACCGTTTTGCGAACTGTGTCGCGCTCTCGAGCGGCCGGTCGTCGCGACAGCCGAGTCGCCATTTTCGTTGCCCGCCCGATCAGCTAATCTACTAGCACTTCCTGGACCATTAGTCGTATATCGTCGTCGCTTCGAGGGGGGCTCAGTGGCGGCTACAATGCTGCCATCTCGAGCGCGTCGCACAGTGTTAAAAGAGCCTTTCGGTCGACCACGCGGGCGTGAGAGGGCCGATTGCCTCGGTGTTCTTGGGCTTGGCGCCATCGTTCCTTGCGTATTCGGATGGATTATAAGGCGAATAATATGATGATAAGGTGGCCCTAATCAGCGCGTCGCAAGAAGGAGGCGAGGGGGATTGTCATGCGGATCGAGTCGGCAAACAGGCATTTGAGAAGTATCACTCAGATATGACGGACGGTTCGCAATAATACTAGGGTGGTCGGTGTACTCTTTTCGTAACAAAAAGTGTCGGATTTTCCAGTCGAGGTTGAGGAGAAGTGGTTGAGAAAGTACGAAAAGGTAGTCAGGACGCGCTGTTGAAGTCGGCTGGAGAAGTCGGCCCTAGCCCCTA